ACATGAATACATGTATAAACATTCACATATAGTCTATAGCTTTGATATTTCAAATCAAATAACAAAAAAAATATATATATATATAAACCATAATATTACATCACAAATTATAATAAAGAAAAATAAAGAAAGAAAGGAAAAAATATTAATATACCAGGATACACCAGACTATACAACAAAATATAGCCAAAAAAACCTGGCTGAGCACCCAATTAAGAGAGATGTGCGTGCTTTTGTACAGTTTTTTTCATAGCATCTTGCAGCTGCCAGAGTTCTTACCAGGTCTTGAAAATATGATCATATCAGCCCAATTTTATTTTCCTTACACTGGCTGCCTGTTAAGCTCCGTATTGATTTTTAAAATATTGCTTCTTACCTACAAGCTTTAAATAATCTAGCTCCTGTTTATCTAACCAACCTCCTGTCCCACTACAATCCAAGCTCTCAAAACTCAGGGCTTTTGATAGCCCCTAGAAGAGCAAAGTCTACTAAAGGAGGTCGAGCCTTCTCATTTATGGCTCCTAAACTCTGGAATAGCCTTCCTGATAATGTTTGTGGCTCAGACACACTCTCACAATTCAGAACACAATGCACTAATTAGGATGCAAAACAATGCGTTGTTAAAAAAAAACAAAAGCATGTCAAATTGCACTAAAAAAAATATATGCGACACCGCAAAAGGTGAACTCCTTTATGGCGAGAGACCACTGCACTTAATTCAATATCACATTTTAAACATCTCCATATTATCCTGCAGATTTACTGCAATCCAGACGATCCGGTGACCTGTCTGGAGCGGGTAACAGTAAAATCACTGGTCTGATCCTGAGGGACGAGCAGCCATAATGATTTCCCCTCTAATTTCAGTAATTGATGTAATTATGGACTTAAACAACTGCATTTTCACAAGGTCGCTTACAGTTGTTCTGTATTTCAATGGACTAGACAGACCTCAGAAGACTTCCGAAGGAAAAACACACTTTCATACTAAAAGCCCTCGCTCTGTTAAATACGTAAAACGACCAGATGTGTCAAACACATTATCATCTAATGAGTTTAATCCACCTAAAATTGAAAATGTACTCACTATTTATTCTCCCTTGAGTGTTTCTAAACCTTTGTGAGTTTCTTTTTTATGTTGAACACAAAAGAAGACATTTTGAAGAAAGCTGAAAACCTGTAACCACTGACTTCTATAGAAGAAAAAAAACACCATAGAAGTAAATGGTTACCGGTTTTCATCATTATTTAGTGTTTAATAGAAGAAAAAAAGGTTTTAAACAAGAAACGAAAAACCTTCAAATTGAAAATACAGAAATGGAGCTCAGGTTAAGCAATTGGGAAAGTATTTTTATGCAAACTTTTCTTAAATCTCATATAGGCATATCTAGTTGTCTGACTCTCAACAAGTCTGGGTCAAGTCTGCACATGCAGTCAGCAGACAACACGTCTCCATTCATAAACTGCTGAGCTCCTCCATCATGCTCTTCACACCAGAGCAAAGGTGGAAACGGTCCGTTAATGTCTTTACTTAAAATGACAATGGACACTTACTATTAGTGCCGTTTAACCATTAATCATGACTAAACTCATACAAAATACAAGTTCATATTTACATAATTTATGCATGTGTGTGTGTGTGTGTGTGTGTGTGTGTGTGCAGTGCTCAGCATATACGAGTACACTACATTTTGAAAATTAATATTTTTATTTATTTCTCAGTGGATATGGGTAATATATATTGGTGAACTTGAATAAAACAGATTAATTAACAGATATATTTATTAAAATAATATTTTAGTCACAGAAGATTTTTAGAAATTGAAAGATAAGACATTTAAATTCATGCAAAATATTGCAAAAAAAAAACTACAACATTTCAACAAAATTTTATATAGATATATATTCTGTTTTTCCTGATTTTTGCTATTTTTAAAAATATATTATTTAACATTTTTCACTAGCATCTAAATTTGGGCTACTAGTTTTTGAACCATTATTGTAAGTTACTTAAGTTACTTTGTGAGATTAGCTCCAGATTTGGCTTTAGTACTGACTAAATATAATATTGTAAAGCATCCTATAGAAAATATTCATTTAAATGAGATTTGTGGGGGGGTATACTCATATATGATGAGCAATATATATATATTAGGGCTGCACGATATATCGTTTCAGCATCGATATCGCATTTATCGCAGAATGTGAGTTTATGGTTGACCAGGAGTCATAGTTTTTTTTTTAAATATTGAAATCTGCCTGTTTTTAGGATCTTTCACCGTTTAAACACTTCAAGAGAGTTTAAAGCATTCAGGTGAAAGTACTTGTGCAGAATTTGTTACTATAATAAAGATACATTTTATTTATGATTTAACAACGAAAACAATGCAGTGTTATTTTACATCTAATTTTATGTAATCTAATTACAATTTTTCTAATTTCTGTAGCTGAACACTGTTTGACAAAACCGTAAAGCAAAATCTCTTTTGAATTCATATTTTTAATACAAAGCTATAAAATATTATATTAGTATATATACATTCGATTACTCAGTACTGAAGCCAAATCTGGAGCTTATCTAACAAAATAACTTGGTAACGGTCCAAAAACTAGTACAGCAAAATTTATGTTGCAGAAAATTATTAAAAATAAATTTTAAAAAGAAGGGGGGAAAAAAATCAAAAGAAGCATAAATAAATAAATTAATTAATTAAAAATGTAGTTGAAATTTGTAGGTTGTAATTTTTTTGCAATATTTTGCTTGAAATTAATTGTATTGTCTTTCAATTTCTAAATAGGTTTGGTGATTAAAATATTACTTTAATACAAGTATCTTTTTGATAAATCTGTTTTGTTCAAATGCACCAAAACACAGCTTATATTCACTAAGAAATGGTATAATATAATATATATATATATATAGCTGAAGTCAGAATTAATAGCCCCTCTGAATTATTAGCGCCCCTGTTTTTTTCTTCTTCTCCAATTTCTGTTTAATGGAGGGAAGATTGTTTCAGCACATTTCTAAGCATAATAGTTTTAAAAACCTATTTCTAATAACCGATTTATTTTATCTTTGTCATGATGACAGTAAATAATATTTTACTTAATATTTTTCAAGACACTCCTATACAGCTTAAAGTGACATTTAAAGGCTTAACTAGGTTAATTAGGTGAACTAGGCAGGTTAGAGTAATTAGGCAAGTTATTGTATAACGATGATTTGTTCTGTAGACTATCGGGAAAAAAATAGCTTAATGGGGCTAATAATTGTGTCCCAAAAAGGATTTTTAAAAAATTAAAAGCTTTTATTCTAGCTGAAATAAAACAAATAAGACTTTCTCCAGAAGAAAAAATATTATCAGACATACTGTGGAAATGTCCTTCTGTTAAACATCATTTGGGAAATATTTAAAAAATAAAAAAATAAATAAAAGGGGGCTAATAATTCTGACTTCAACTGTATGTATGCATGTATGTATGTATATATATATATATATATATATATATATATATATATATATATATATATATATATATATATATATATTTTTTTTTTTTTTTTATTACATTAAATATAGCCTACATAAATATACAGCCCACAATAAATTATTTATATATTAGACTTTTATTTTGTATGTGATTAGTCATGATTAATCGTTTAGCAACACTAATTAACAACATTCAGGGTTTTGTTACAAAAAGTTATTGTATATACACAATTTAATTGATCTATGTGATGGTTATTAATACACTATTATAAATAAAAACTAAAATATTGTGCTGCCCTAGTTTTCAGTGAAGTTATGAACGATTGGCATTTCAATAAATACTGTATGAATTATCCTTCTTCCACAGCACCATTCCAGACTCATGCTTCAGTAGGCTAGAGCTATGCTGTTTTTACTCTGGGAAGATAAACAACTGCAAGATCAAACCTGCCTTCACATCAAGATAACTCCACGCATTTATGTTGGCAAAGGGATTCTGCCAAAACCTCAAACATGGAGATATCAAAACACAACTCTGATTTACCAAATAATAATAATAAACCAGATTCAGGAGCAATTTCTACTCAAGGTAACCGTGAGGCTCTCTCAACTCTGTCTAGGAAAGTCAAATCATTAAGAAACCCAATAGCTCAGGGTTACAAGCTTAACACAACAACACACCTTTTGCATAGAAGCCACTAAATGAAACAGGGATTTATTTAACTGTATCTACAGAAAAGCTACCATAGTAAAATAAAATAAAAATTCTGCCTCCTTTGTTTATGTTGAGATATTTCCCTTTAAAGACCAAGAAAATGGCTTATTATTTGCCATAAACGTGACATTACTGGAAATACACACAGGAGCCTGATAAAAAAAAACTCATTTACAGGAACATTTCAGGCATTTAGAGGTTTTTAAATCTGAACTCTTCATATTATTTTGCATAGCGTTGAACTGAATAGTTTTAATAATGTGATACTGTACGAGAGCGCGCGTGGCAGTACAGGCACGCGCATTAAACTCGCTGTAATAGATTTAGAGCTATTTGATCATCCATAATCTTACATTAAAAGCACACTCGTATCATACATAAAAACCTCAAAGAAAAATATTATTCGACTCAGAGCTAAAATTTATTAAAAAAAAAACAAAAACAAATTAAAAAACTCTATAAATAATAGACAGTCTTACAGTGTAGCTAAAGTCATGGTTTAAATTAAAATCTTTTAGTTCAAAAATATTTATTTCAGAAAAGCAGAAATGCCGAACAATTCAAGTAATGTCGCATGACGGTATGTAAATAAATAAACACGAACAAAAAGATAGAAGATAAACTGCCTAAATAATAAATGTAAACTACTGTCATCTAACTAAAAATAATCTAGTCTTGTCCACCAATCTTTTACAAAAGCCCAGCTAGTACGCTTCGACTTTAATAAAACAGCAAAAGCATGTGCACTTTATTACAGACAGACATGCTAGAGTCCATTTACAAGCGTTACTCACCTTTCTGAAGCAAATCCTCTGAGGAAAGACTCAATCCTGAACAGATAAAATAGCGTCTCCACAATAGTCAATGGATGAAACTCCACATGTCTTGCTTGTTCGCAAGTTTAGTCTTTGTTTGTTTGTTTTTAAATGAAAACTCTTCAGATGTTGCTCAGTTTTTCCTTGACTCGCCGGAAAACCTTCTGAAATCGGTGAATAAAATCCTCAGTAGAGACGCGTGCTCGGCTTTAAGATGATATCATGAAGTAACATAACGTCTAAAATTCACTCCCATCACCCAAAACACCGATTTTCTCAGCGAGTTTGCACGTTTTTCCTTCTGGAAATCCCACCCGTGCGGGTTTTGTTTGCGCTCGTGCGTAATGAGGGTAGAGGAAAAACTTTTACCCCCTTCGCCACTTCGGTCGGCAGATCAAAACAAATCAAAACCCTGGAAAGCGGGTTTATTAGAGACGAATTTCTCCGTATAAATCGGCGTATGTTCGGAAACACCAACTTCTTGTTGTTTTGTCGATAAATCCGAAATCGTCGGCCTCCCCCAGCACTTCTTCTTCAGATACAGCGAGATTCCGCACTCATGGATGGAGGAGTGTGTGAGCTGAAAGACCTGACTCCCCCTCCATCACTAACACCTCAGGACTACCAAACAGCTGGCCCAGTGCACTCTGGGATTGTAGTTTTTGTGAAAGCGAACCCCCTCTTTAATGTTTTCATCTAAAGAAGAACAATTATATTTCAATGTTTAAACAGATAGTTCAGCCATCATCATTTAGCCTGCTCTCCAATCACTTATCCAAAACATTTCCATTGATAAATCCATAGAACACAAAAGAAGATATTTTGAAGAATGTTGGCACGCTGATTTCAAATATTCATTGGATTTACTAATATTTTTTAAGGTCAGAGAAACTATTTATATGGGCTGAGTGCAAACAAACTGAATTTAGTAATGTTTAACTTAATTTGTTTGTTTAAATTTAACCCAGGGGGTGACACGGTGGCTGAGTGGTTAGCACTGTGGCCTCACAGCAAGAAGGTCGCTGGTTCGAGTCTTTTGAGTTTGTGTATGACTTTGTATAGATGTTTCCCAGTACTAAATGCTGCTGAAAAGGCATTCATTGTTTATTAAAACAAATGCTGGAATAGTTGTCGGTTCATTCTGCTGTGGAGACCCCTAATGAATAAAGAAATTGAATCATTAAAATTTAACCCATAGTTTGCCACCTCTTACCTTAACATGTTTAGTTAGTAAATCCAGTGAAAAAAATTTTTTCAGCTCACCAATTGACGTCCATCACATATTTTTTCCCTATGGAAGTCAACGCCACCAACATTCTTCAAAATATCTTCTTTTGTGTTCAACACACACACAGAAATGCATAAAGGTAAAAAAGCACACACAAGGGGAGAATAAATGATGTGATTTTGAGTGAACTGTCCCTTTTAAAAGCTTTATCTTAGCTGAAAAAAGAAGATAGGAATCATCCTCCATCACTAACACCTCAGGACTACCAAACAGCTGGCCCAGTGCACTCTGGGATTGTAGTTTTTGTGAAAGCGAACCCCCTCTTTGATGTTTTCCTCTAAAGAAGAACAATCATTTTTCAAGGTTTAATCAAACAGATAGTTCAGCCATCATCATTTAGCCTGCTCTCCAATCACTTATCCAAAACATTTCCATTGATAAAACCATTGAACACAAAAGAAGATATTTTGAAGAATGTTGGCACGCTGATTTCAAATATTCATTGGATTTACTAATATTTTTTAAGGTAATAGAAACTATTTATATGGGCTGAGTGTAAACAAACAGACTGAATTTAGTAATGTTCAACCTAATTTGTTTGTTTAAATTTAACCCAGGGGGTGACACGGTGGCTGAGTGGTTAGCACTGTCACCTCACAGCAAGAAGGTCGCTGGTTCGAGTCTTTTGAGTTTGTGTATTTGTGTGAATGAGTGTGTATAGGTGTTTCCCAGTACTGGGCTGCAGCTGGAAGGGCATCCGCAGTGTAAAACATATGCTGGATAAGTTGGTGGTTCATTCCGCTGTGTCGACCCCTGATAAATAAAGGACTAAGCCAAAAGGAAAATAAATGAATGAGGCAGTGGCGCAGTAGGTAGTGCTGTCGCCTCACAGCAAGAAGGTCGCTGGGTCGCCGGTTCAAACCTTGGCTCAGTTGGCGTTTCTGTGTGGAGTTTGCATGTTCTCCCTGCCTTCGCGTGGGTTTCCTCCGGGTGCTCCGGTTTCCCCCACAGTCCAAAGACATGCGGTACAGGTGAATTAAGTAGGATAAATTGTCCGTAGTGTATGAGTGTTTGTGAATGTGTGTGTGGATGTTTCCCAGAGATGGGTTGCAGCTGGAAGGGCATCCGCTGCGTAAAAACTTGCTTGATAAGTTGGCGGTTCATTCTGCTGTGGCGACCCCGGATTAATAAAGGGACTAAGCTGACAAGAAAATGAATGAAGAATGACGTCCTCTTTCTTTATTCTTCTTAGATAAAGCCGTTCTGTTCATTCTTTGTCTATGCGTGACAACAATGTCCACACACACCTCTGACACGGTTTGTGTTTGCACAGTGAAGATGACCCCAACAAAGTGAGCGCATTATCTCAACCCCAGGAAAAGTTTAGATAACATCTCCTGTTTTATTCAAACTACGATTAGTTCGGGATACTAATGCACAGAAAACATTCACGGATCCTAAAGCCATCCATTAATAGATAACAGCACAGCCATTGATTGGGGGGATGGGGGTGGACATTGTCCTGCTCCCACTAAGGCCCTTTTCACAGCCTATCAATGGGCTCAGGAAGGATTGAACATCTATAGTCATGTTTACTTTCGAAGATGCAAATTAGATGGAAATTTACATAAAGCATTAGCAAATAAAGACTCATTCCATCCAATGAGTCCAAGAGAACAAAATGACCACTTCCTGATAAAATGACAGCAAATATCAAAAAGAAAGACTGAATTTGTTTTGGTTAGAGAAGCCACTGCGAGCCTTTTTTCTTCTATAATATATGACTTAGAAGACAAAAACAAAACGCAATGAATGCATGGTGGCTTTTGGAGGCGTCAGACACTCTTTGGAGGCACAAACCTTGGCTGAGGGATGTTAAAATCACTTAAACATTACGGATGTTTTACTATGTGGTTGATCTGCTGGTTTGTCTTTTACCCAGTTAAACTCTGCTGCTATAAATTTTTTATGAATTTGTGAATGCTCATATGACGGATCTATCTGCGTGAACATTTGTTGACAGACAACTTGAGCTACCTATTATTATTTTCGAACAGAATATTTTGGTTGGACGACTATGCCTTACCCAGAATATAAAAGTACACTTATATTAGGGCGTAATGATGGAGCAGTGGACAGCACAATCACTTTACAGCAAGAAGGTCGCTGGTTCAAGCCCTGGCTGGATCAGTTGGCATTTCTGTGTGGAGTTTGCATGTTCTCCCCGTGTTGGCGTGGGTTTCCCCACAGTCCAAGGCATGTGCTATAGTTGGGTAAGCTAAATTGTCTGTAGTGTATGTCGGTGAATGAGGGTGTATGGGTGTTTCACAGTGATGGGTTGCAGCTGTAAGAGCATTCTCGGTGTAAAACTTATGCTGGATTTATTGGCAGTTCATTCCACTGTGGGGACCCCACATTAATAAAGGGACTAAGCCAAAATGAAAATGAATTAGTGCACCTTTAATGCCGTCCCATTGTACTCATTTTTAATACTACATAATCTCATTCATTCATTCATTTTCTTGTCGGCTTAGTCCCTTTATTAATCCGGGGTCGCCACAGCGGAATAAACCACCAACTCATCCAGCAAGTTTTTTTTTTTTTTACACAGCGGATGCCCTTTCAGCTGCAACCCATCTCTGGGAAACATCCACACACACATTCACACAATACGGGCAATTTAGCCTACCCAATTCACCTGTACCGCATGTCTTAGGACTGCGGGGGAAACCGAAGCACCCAGAGGAAACCCACGCGAACGCGGGGAGAACATGCAAACTCCACACAGAAACGGCAACTGAGCCGAGGCTCGAACCAGCGACCCAGCAACCTTCTTGCTGTGAGGCGACAGCACTACCTACTGCGCCACTGCCTCGCCGCTACATGATCTCTTATAACAAAAATGACCATTTTTGATGTGAATTTATTTAGTAAATGTGTTTCTGTCATAGTTTATGCACATTTTTTTCTTAGCCGATAACATGTTTGTCCTACTCAGTTGCGCGAATAATTTTATTAAGCACATTTTCAGATTATACATTTACATTTAGTCATTTAGCAGACGCTTTTATCCAAAGCGACTTACAAATGAGGACAAGGAAGCAATTTACACAACTAAGAGCAACAATAAATAAGTGCTGTAGGCAAGTTTCAGGTATGTATAGTGTAAGAAGCACAACATTAGTCATTTATTTATTTTTTGTAGTACAGTTAGCGGTGGAGCCAGAGAGGCAATTGCAGATTAGGAAGGAAAGTGGAGACTAAATAGTTGAGTTTTCAGTCGCTTTTTGAAGACAGTGAGTGACTCTGCTGTTCTGATGCAGTTAGGGAGTTCATTCCACCAACTGGGCAGATTGAATGCGAGAGTTTGGGAAAGTGTTTTCTTCCCTATTTGGGATGGAACCACGAGGCGACGTTCATTCACAGAACGCAAGTTTCTGGAGGGCACATACATCTGCAGAAGTGAGTGCAGATAAGAAGGAGCAAAGCCAGAAGTCTCTTTGTAAGCAAACATCAGAGCTTTGAATTTGATGCGAGCAGCAACTGGCAGCCAGTGCAAACAGATGAGCAGCGGAGTGACATGTGCTCTTTTAGGTTCATTAAAGACCACTCGTGCTGCTGCGTTCTGAAGCAGATGAAGAGGTTGGATAGAGTTAGCTGGAAGCCTGACTAGAAGAGATTTGCAGTAATCCAGTCTGGAGAGAACAAGAGCTTGAACAAGGACTTGAGCTGCATGTTCAGATAGGAAGGGTCGGACCTTTCTGATGTTATAGAGTGCAAATCTGCAAGATCGAGCAGTTCTAGAGATGTGGTCAGAGAAGTTTAGTTGGTCATCAATCGTTACTCCATGGCCTTTCACCGTTTTGGATGCAGTAATGGTTGCCCCGTCCATCTGGATTGAAAAGTTATGATGTAGAGTTGGGTTGGCAGAAACTTCAAGCATTTCCGTTTACGCGAGGTTAAGCTGAAGATTCTATGTTCATCATTGCGCATCTTTTTTATGATTTTATTCCAAAATGTAAATAAAAACAGGGGATAGAAATCACTATAGCCTCTTTATTCATTCAATTAGTAATGCAACTCAATAGCAAGAAACACATTTGTCAATGTGACCTAAAAGTCGTGACCGAAATTAAACATTACATTGGATATATTACAAAAGAAAAATCCAATGGGACGTCTACTATTCTAGATAACAACAAAACAACGGTTTTCTCCGAAACACCAATTGGATCACTGTTTGTTTGTTCGCCAGAGTTCTGCTCACAGTTATAAGGTTTCCACACAGGGCTTGAGGTGACAATTTTCTCTCTAGTAAAACCTTTATTGACCCAATTTGCTCTCTAAACAACAGCAAAGTCCAAGAAAC